CATGCTTGGGAGGGTGGAGGGACAGCGCAGGAGGGGAAGGCCCTCTATGAGGTGGATTGATTCAGTGACTGGGATAATTGGGATGGGAGTGTAGGAGACAGTGTGATTGGCACAGGACAGAGCGGAGTTTGGGCTGTTGTACATAGAGTTGCTATGAGTCACAAGTGACTCGACGGCACATAACAAGAACAACAACAACAACAACATCTTTTGTATCTTTATTCTTGTCATTCATACTTTAAAAATATCAGAATAGAGCGCCAGATACTGCCCTGTTAGAGAACACTAGAAATCTCTTGGTCAAGTGACATAAATCTATCTACTATCATCCTTCTCCAAAAGTCAATGCAGCCAATTTCCCTTATAATCTGCCCACCTTTAACCATCACACTCTTGAGAACATCATGACCAACATCATCAAAGAGCTCAAGTGCTGATAAGCCACAGCTGTGACATTTCCTACACTTCCCATCCAAAGAAATTTAGCAAAACAGGAATTGCATTAGTATAACATGACTGTTTACAAGGAATTCTGAGGGTAAGGACCTTGCCTTTTACATTTGTACATAAGTTGTTGTTATGTGTGGTCGAGTCACTTGTGACTCATAGTGACCCCATGTCCCTGAAACCTGCTCTATCCTGTGCCAACTTTACTGCCTCTGACACACCTACCCTCATTATCTCAATCACTGTATCAATCCATCTCATTGATGGTCTCACTCTCTTTCTCCATCCTTCCAAGCATGATGTCCCCTCTCCAAGGACTGGTCCCTCCTTGCAACATGCCCAAAGTATGACAGACGAAGCCTCAGAATCCTTGCCTCCAAGGAGCAGCCTGGTTTCATCCTGTCTAGGATGAACCTGTTTGTTCTGGCAGTCCATGGTATGTAAGAGGCTCAGTAAATGTTTGCGGAATTTTAAACTCTATGAAATTAGACTAAGATTGTTTTCTGCTGACTCTCCAACGTAAGCACTATTTGTAACCCCAGTACTCCCCACCCTCTACACCCATTCACCCTAAGGTCACAACAGAATTAGGGAGGCTAATTGATGTACAAGGGGAACTACGGTTGCTTAGTTAGGTGTTGTGTTGCTGATGCAAAGGCCGGCAGTGCAAACCTACCAGCTGCTCTGTGTAAGAAAAATGGGCCATCTGTCCGTGTGCAAGTCAAGCCTCTGAAAATCCACTGGAGGGTTAGCTGTGAATTGGTTCTGGCTAGGCAGTACATATGGGAAGCAGGAGTGGCATCCACTTCCTAAACAACATGCCTCCGGAAACTCTACGAACTTTGTTCATAGGGTCGCTATGAGCCGTACTCGATACGAAGGCAATCAACAACAACAACACTGATGTACTAGGAGCCCTGGTGGCACACTGTGTAATGTGTTGGGCTGGTAACCAAAAGGTCAGCAGTTTGAATCTACCAGATTCCAAGGGAGAACAGTGTCCTTCCATAAAGAATTACAGCCTTGGAAGCTGAAGAAGGGTTAGTCTGACCTTCAGGTGATGGGGCACTGAGGTTCCCTTGCTGAGGCTAAAGAAAGTGAGGCCTCTTTGGGTGCAACCATCTTCTTGGAAGTCACACCACTTTCCTAGAAAAGGGGCTCAGCACTTCAGTCATGGTGGAACCTGCAAACCCTTCCTGTTTCTCTCCCCTTATCCTGAGCATAATAGTCTTCTTTTCCGGCCTCCAAAGCACACACACCTGCAGGATCTTTTTTTGATGACTGTGAACTTTCATTATAAACAAGAGTGGGTGAGTTCCTTCTAGGAACTTCAGCATTCAGCCGGTAAAATCTCCCCCACAAAAAGATTTAATGAGAGCCTGGTGATCTCACAGAAATGAGGAAGCGTGGATATATAGGAAGAAATAAGTTACTACTGTAGTTACAATAATTGTTCAGTCATGTATTTGTTGAAGGAAAGGGGGGGAAGCACGTTCAAATGGTGGTTTTATAACTGACGATTCTGAGTGGCTAAGAGGCATCAGTAAGATACTAGATATTAATGTCCAAGGAGATAGGAAGAGAAACGGTGGTTGGGAAGGACTGTGGGGAAACGGTGAAGACAAACTGTACCCCATTTCTTAATATTCACAATCAGGGAGCTCAGGTGGCCTCCTGTAGAGACTTGAGCTGCTAAGGGAAAGGTGGTACCTCTTTGGGGCTTTGAATCCACCAGCTGTTCTTTCTTTTTTTTTAAAATTTTATTATTTTTGTGTGCGTGTACCGTCAAATCAGATCTGACTGGTACAGGAGGAGATTGCCCCTCCTTCCCCGGCAGAGCATCTGGTGGATTTGAACCGTGCATCTCTGGGATTGTAGTTGCAGCTTCTTGCCACTAGGCCACCAGAGCTCCCCCCACCAGCTGTTCTGAGGTAGGAGGTTGGCTAATCTCCTCCAGTGCAATTTACAGCCTCTGGGAAACCAGCTCAGGGTCAACTGTGAGCTGCTTCTGACTCCATGGTCTGTTTGAGTTTTTGAGTGTGGAGGCTGATGTGTGAAGTGGCTGGATTCTGGACGGCGGTGGGATGTTTTGTGTCTGTTGAGGGTGGGGTGTGGACTGTTTTGGTTGTTTTTTATTTCGTTCACAATTGTGTGTGAGCTGATTGGATTTGCTAGATTTAACTAACAGTGAGCTGTGGGCAGGAAGTTACTTGTCAACAGGATCTGGTAAGAGGGCTTTGGTATTTAAAAATCGGTTGGTGTTAATTATGCTTGGGACTAACTTCTAAGTGGCACAGCACTGGTCTATCATTTTGGTGTACTGAGGTAACCCAGGCTTTCTGTGATGCTGAACACTGTGCCACTGGTGCGTCAAATGCCATAACGGACACCCATGGTGGACGGTGTTTGGTGGAGTTCCCAGATTAAGACAGGCATGGAAGCAGGAATGGCACCCACTTCCTAAGCAACATGTTTCTGGAAACTCTATGAACGTAGTTAGTTACAGAACCAGGTTCTGTCCCTAGGGTCACTATGAGTCTGTTCAACTCAACAGCACTTAACAATATTCACAATACATTTAATGCAGAAAAGTAAAATTAAAACTCTTCATTCACTCTGCTTTTGCCAATATCAGACTCTTTCTGTGTTTTTTAGGAAATTTTCCGTTTTTCTCAAATTGACAGCAAGGCTTATGAATGGCAAAATGTGTTATGACGTAATGCAACTTATAGAAGCGTTGACATTATTATTTTTTTTTTTTTGCCATCCCACATTCCCCCATATTAAACTCTTAGAATTATCAAGACTTACTTCCAAAGGAGGCAAGGAGAAGGTGCCTGAGGGACATTAGAGAAGCACCAATGACTTACCCTCCAGGCACCGTGCTTAAACAGCTTGGCTGTGTTGTCACACTTGAAAGTTTGGACCCTCCATTCACTCTGTGGAAGGTGCTGCAGTTTCTCCCCAAAGATTTACATCCTTGTGAAGTTGGTGGAGAGGGACGCAGTGGACTGCGTTTGGAAGTGTCTTTCTTTCTTTTTAAATTTTTTCTCAAAAAGAGATTACATTCCGGTGTAGGTTAAATCTGAATTGAGTCTAGCAGCACGATGCACTGAACGCGGGAATATTCTACAAGTAGAAGCAACAATCAGTCCTTTTCGTTTTCTATGCTTGGATGCTGAGTTCTGTAGGTGTCGGGTAAGTAGCAGGTGCAAGAGATTTTCTTTCTACGCCTTAAAATGGACACAGATTTAGTGTTCTGCTTGGCAGTTTAAGATTGCAACTGCCAATGACCTCTGCGCCACCAAACGAGTGCTACCTGAGACGCAGAGAGGAGGGCAAGGGGTTCGAAACTCCTGCGGTCAGAGTCCTCAGGAGCCAAGGGTACTTCCGGAAACCCGCGGACTACATTTCCCAAGAACCTCTGCGACCTTCGCTCCCATCAGCCCCCTCGGTTTCTAGGAAACGACGGGAGCGTGAGGGCAGTCTGGGCGCGCTTTCTCTTGCGTCATAAACGTGCGCCGCCTGCGCTCTAGAGCGGCCTAGACCACGAGAGTATGGCGGCCACGGAGGCGGTGATGGCGTCGTCGTCTTTGTCTTTGGAAGCGGACACAGCCTCAGCCCTTGAAAGCTCGGGAACAGTCGCCGTGGCGGCTCCGATCTCGCCAGCGACGGCGAAAGCCGCCACGACGGAGGCCGCGGCCGCGACGGCGAAAGCCGCGGAGACCACGGCGGCCGCGACGGCGGGAGCGAAGACTGCGGCCGCCTCGACGGAGCCAGCCGCTAAGACGGCGGGCGCTGCGGGCGAGGCCGCCGCCGGATCGGAGCCCGGGGACGCCAAGTCCGCCATGGCCAACAAGCTGCTGTCGCTGAACGGCGTGTTCGCCGTGCACAAACCTAAAGGGCCCACTTCAGCCGAGCTGCTGAATCGGCTGAAGGAGAAGCTGCTGGCAGGTACAGGAGCCTGGGGGTGGGGGGGCGGGACCAGGCCGAGGCCGTTTGCAGCACTCCGTCCCCCCAGCGCGAAAAGGAGGAGGGCGCGTGGGGAACGACCCCTGCATGGACGGTGGACTGCAGCCTGGGGCAGATCGGGCTTGGACTCGGCCCGCTGGGACCTCACTGGAGCCTGGTTGGCAGTTGTCGCTCTCCGAGGGGGAGAGAGGCAGCAAGCCTGTGCCCTCGTGGAGGCTCATCGCTCAGCCTTTTGTTCGGTGCACGTGAATGAATGAACTCCCAAAGGAAGTGCTGTTAACCCGCTGCCCCCAAGTCGCACCCTTCCCAGTGTTTGGGAAATGCAGATAGTAACTTAGCCGCGCAATGCCCCGATCCCGTGTTCTCCCCGTGTCAGTGAGCATCCGTATTTGGGGAGGGCTGTCCCTTGTCAAAATGCACGTGACTGCCTCCCGAGATGCTGAGCCTGGAGACAGGGGACCTTTTTTTTGAATCTGTCATTTTGACAGTTGTCCCAGTGTAAGTCGTCTGGAGGCCACGCTGTAAGGAGCAGTAGTGCTGTTGCACGTGCCTCCTGGGAGAAAACTTAACCAAAAAACGTAAAAAGCGTCTTAAGTGTGTTCCATCAGTCAACAAACCAGTTCAGACAGTGGGTCAAGGAACCTTACATTTATTGAACACCGGGCAATAAGCTGGGCCTGTCTTAGTCTCTAAAGGCACAAAAGATAAAGAACCTTTCACTTACTTGAGGTTGCAGACTAGTAATTTCTGCAGCCCTTGGTGACACCACTCTGTCTATTCAAGGCTCTCCTAATTTGGGGCCTTTTCCTGCTTTGCCATTAAATTGTCGCAGAACATTGTTCTTCACTGCGGGCTTTACTCTTTAAAAAAATGCCAAGCCAGATAAATGACGTGAATACAAGGCCTGTTGAGTTGATTTTGACTCCTGGCAACCCCATATATTTTAGACTATGCTTGACCTTCACAGGTGTTTTTGGCTGGACAAACAGTCAAATGCTTAACTAGCAGTCAAAGTATTGGGAGTTTGAACCCACCAGCAAACCCCTTGGAAGACAAGCCTGATAGCTACTTCAGAAAAGTCACAGCTTTGAAAACCCTGGAGAATCTATTCTGATCCCCTGGGAACATGGCATATGGGGGATTGGGATAGATTCTGTGGCAATTAACAACATGGTTCTCCATGCACATCAGACTCCACATTGCGACAAGAGTGGACTGCTCCTGCTTTGCACTAGGCCCCTGCTTTGGAAACTTTTTTTCATCAGATAAATTCTCATTTTTACACAACTATTTTTGAGATCCATAGATTTATACTGTGGTTCATTTCAAAGCATAATGTGTTAATCTGTAGAATTTTTTTTTTTTAATTCACTCTATGTTTCTGGAGATAGTACTTCCTGATCTTGGTAACTTATCCATTTCAATTACCCTCACAGAAGCTGGCATGCCTCCTCCAAAATGCAACAAGAGGAAAAAACAGACTTTCAAAATTGGCCATGGAGGAACTCTAGACAGTGCAGCCAAAGGAGTTCTGGGTAAGAGATACGAATGGAGGTTTTCTCTGTCACTTAATGTTAGATTCAGAAGACATTTAAGATTGAGTGAAGCCTTGCTTTTTGCAGTCTACTTAAACTGTTTGACACTTAGTGGATTTGTGTTGCCATCTTGTCTGAGTTTCCCAGTGGTACAAAATTAATAAGCCTCTTGGAATTCTAAATAGTTCTGTGTATGTCTTACAGTTGTTATATACCACTGAGTTGGAACCAGTGAGCTTTCAGAGGTTATAGATCACATGGAAGGATATTGCCCATCTTTCTCCCATGGAGCGGCTAGTGGATTTGAACTTTCTTCCTTGGATTGCAGTGAACTCTTTATCCACTAGGCCACCAGAGCTTCCTACCTGTTAGTTGTTCTGTGCTGTCAAGTCAGAACTGGCTCGAAGCTGACCTTCCAGTGGGTTTTCAGACACTCTTAATTACACCAGAGGAGATTGCCTTTCTCCTTTGGAGCAGTTGGCAATTTCAGACTGACTGCCTTTGGCGTTGGCAGCACAGCCACTTATCAGTGGACCACCAGAGCACCCTCAAGTGTTAATGCTTGTTGTTAGGTGCTGTCAAATCGAATGTGACTCATGGAATGGACCCTGTGAATAACAGACCTGAATCCTGTCCTATCCTGTGCCATTCAAGGGTTAATGTGTGTGTGAGAAAGAATTTACATGGAAAGATCAGCTTGGAAGAGTGTCCCTTAGCTGACATCTTGGAACTTTAATTTTAAAGGAGTTCTCATTCTTCCCTACAAATAGTGGTGCTTTACTGTTCCTAGAATGTGCAAGTGATACATAAGTTCATTACTTGCTTGCATACTTTCTAGGAGTCTGGGATTTTATCCCACCCATTGAAACAGAGGGTGTTTACATCACCACCCCCTTTGTGTGTGTGTGTATAAAGCATTACCTTTGGTAACATTACATACATGTTAATTCATTTTTTGTTGCTGGAAAAACTTTCAAATATAAGAAAGCTTGTGCATAGATTTCTTAGTTCCGTCTGTGCCTTTCTACCTCATAACCCAATATACCCTTTTATATCATAATAAATAAGGCTGACAGAAGAAGTATAAATGCCTTTGAGCTATGGTGTTGGAGAAGAGCACTGAACGTCCCACTGACGACCAAAAGAACAAAAAAATATGTCTTGGAGAGGATGCAGCCAGAGTGTTCTTTTGAGGCAAGTATGATGAGGCTTTGCCTCACATACTTTGGGCATGTTGCAAGGAGAGTCTATTCCTTGGAGAAGGGCCCAGTGCTGGGAAGGGTGGAGGGTTGGCAAAGGGGAGGAAGACCCTTGACTAGGTGGATTGATGTGGGGTCTGCCGCAGTGGGCTCTTATGTGTCATTAAGTGTGAGGATGGCAGAGGATAGAACAGGGTTTAGATCTTTTGTTCATAGGGTTGCCTTGAGTTGCACTCTCTTCAATAGTACCTAAAAACAACAATATATCACTAATCAAGAAGACAGAGTCTCACCTTTGGGCCAGTTGGCAGCACCATGGTGGATGGATAAGAGAGTGAGATTATTAACAATTTCAACTTATTGGCTCCACAGTCAGAACTCTTGAGGCACCAGCAGTCAGGAAATCAAAAGATGAATTACCTTGGAGAAGTCTGCTGTCAGGGGCCTCTCCAAAATGCTAAAGAGCAATGATGTCAGTCAACAGACTAAGGTGCACCTGAACCAGGTCATGATCTTCGCAGTTCCTTGCTACGCATCAGAGAGCTGGAGAGTGACTAAAGGTGACAGAAGAACAATTGATGCTTTTTAGCTGAGGTGCTAGAGAAGAGTATTGGACATACCAGGAGAGCAAACAGATCTGTCTTCGAGAGGATAAAATCCAGTTTGTTCTTAAAGACAAGGATTTTGAAACTTGGTCTCACATATTTTGTACATGTGACCAGGAGGGACCTGTCCTTGGAAAAGGACATCATGCTTGGAAGGGTGAAGGAACAGCACAGGGGAGGAAGACCCTGGATGAGATGGATTGACACAGTAACAGGGCAAAGGGATTAGGTGTGTTGGAGTTGATGTGACTGGCTCAGGATAGGGTAGGGTTCAGAGATGTTGTCCATAGGGTCGCTGTGTGTCACGGGTGACTCGATGGCAAATAACATCAGTAACAACATAGCATTAATAAATCTTTGCCATGAGCACAACTGTGTATGGAGTGAATCTTTGAAGTAGGACTGGTTTCAGGGACTCCCAACATGGGGTGCTGCTAATCCTGTGGACAACAGAGTGTGGAGCTTGGTGGTATAGTGGTAACAAATTGACCCAAAAGGCGAGCTGTTCAAATCCACCAGCTGCTGCAAGGGAGAAATGTGGGCTTTCTCTTCTCACGGAGACATGCAGCCTGGGAAACCCAGTGGAGAGCCACTTTGAGTTGCCACTGACTTGATGGGAGTAGATTTAGAAGGTGAACCAGTAGTTCTTGAGAAGAAGTCACTCTCTCACGTATTAGTTGAATACTTTGTTTCTCAAGGAAAATTGGTATTGGATGAAGGAAGAAAAAGAACTGATGCTTTTTAATTTCACTTTTGCTTTTTCAAAATCTCAGTAGCTATAATACATCTTTACAGACTGCTAAAGTGTGTGTATGTATTTATTTATTGTTATGTGCCATCGAGTCACTTGCAACTCATAGCAACCCCTGTGTACAATAGCTTTGAACCTGGCTCTGTCTTGTGCCAGTTTCATTGTGGTCAGCACACCTGTTCCTGTTGACTCAGTCACTGAGTCAATCAATCTCATCCAGAGCCTTCCTCTCTTCCGTTGTTTCCACTTTTCCAAGCATGATGCCCTTCTTCACAGGTTGGTCCCTTGCAACATGCCCAAAGTATGTGAGATAGCTTAAAAATCCTTCCTTCCTTGGTTTTACCCTCTGCAGGACAGACCTGTTTGTTCTCTTAGCAGACTATGGTATGTTTAATACTCTTCTCCAGCACCACAACTCAAAAGGTGTCAAGTCTTCTGTCATCCTTAGTCATTGTCCTGCTCTCTGATGTATAGCAAGTAATCATGAAGACCATAGCTTGGGTCAGGCATACCTTAGTCTTTAGACTGATATCGTTGCTTTTCAGTACTCCGGAGAGGTCTTTGACAGCAGATTTTCCCAGTGCAATTCATCTTTTGATTTCCTGGCTGCTGGTACCAGCAGTGTTGATTGTGGGACAGAGTAAGCTGAAGCTATAAACAATCTCAGCCTCTTCTCCATCTATCATGATTCTGCCAGTTGGCCCACTGGTGAGAATCTGTTTTGTTGTTGTTTAGCTTCAAACCATATTGAAGGCTATAGTCCTTGACCTTCTGCAGCAAGCTCTTCCGTTTCAGCAAGAAAGGTTGTGTCATCTATATAATGCACGTGGTTGATGAGTCTTCTCCAATACTGATGCTACACTCCTTCTTATAAAGTCCAGCCTCCTGGATGCTCTGCATATAGATTGAAAGGATATGGAGATAGGCTGCATTCCTGTTGTACACCTTAGGTGTCATCAAGTCGAATACGACTCACAGCAAACCTATGAACAACAGATCTAAACCCTGACCTATCCTGCGCCATCCTCCTCTTCTCCGACTTCCTTGAGAACATTGCTGCAGTCACTGTTAATCCATTTGGTAGAGGGTCTTTTTCTCCTTCGCTGATCCTCCACCTTTCCAAGCATGATGTCCTATTCCAAGGAATAGCTCTTCCTAACAACATATCCGAAGTGTATGAGATGAAACTTTGTCATCGTTGTCTCTAAGGAACGCTCTGGCTGTACTTTTCTCCAAGACATAATCTGTTCATTCATATACATATGTTACAGTAGTGTTTTCCAAGCTTTTTTGGTAACTGCATCTGTAGTCACAGAAATTTGTATGTTGGAATTCTTCCTAATTTCCCCTTAGACTTTCCAATTAGAAACAAAATTTTATGTAACAGTACTTACCTTTTAACATGCATATTCATTTAAGAGATAATAGCTCATTAAATGAATTTCATGCTAAACTAAAGACTCATTGTTGTTGAGTACCATTGAGTCAGGTCACACCACAGCTGACACTCTAGCTGGTTTTCAGAGGCCTTAAGTTGCATGGAAGATTGGCCTTCCTTTTTTCCCCCCACCCCCAAGCAGCAGCTGGTTGGATTTGAAACAAGAGCCTTTGGAATTGTAGTGCAGCTTCTTACCACTAGTCCACCAAAGCTCCCTCTTGGATGATGCAATATCCAGTCCATTTGAATTGCTAATTACAGATTAAAATAAACAACAACTAACCATAATTTTTTGGAAGGAGGAGTGGCATCCACTTCATAATAGCTTGCCTCCGGAAACCCTGTGAACCTGGAGAGAGGCTGAAAGGCACCCAAGCGTCGAGGACTCTCCTTCATAGGGTCGCTATGAGTTGCCTGCGACTTGACGGCACTTAACAACCACAACAACAACCATAATCTTAAGTTACCTGATGCTGCATAGCGCTAAGGAGAAAAAGGGATATGTGTTTTAAAATTATGGAAAAGGATAGTATTTTAAATAAAGCATTTAGGATAAAAAGTTAAGAAAATATTTTTTAAGAAAATTAGTAACTGGGATTTTCCCTTCTAAGTATAGATTTTAGTTGATATTGGCAAAAATCTTTTGAGATTAAATAGAACTATTTCTTTTATTGCATTTATTGCCCCTTGAAGAGTATTGGAAACAAATAATTGGTAGTAATTCTTGCAGATTACCAATGATTTCACTTTGTTGTGTTTCTGAATTGTGATGGTTTTATTTTTCTTTATGGACAGCTGTATCGATTTGTAGTAAATACTTCAGGGTTTGTTTTCTTTTGTGTGTGTGTGTTTGTTTGTTTTAAGTATGCTCGTTAAGTGAAGAAATGAAGAAATCCCTTCAGTTTTGCCTCTTTGAAATTGAGTAGACAAGTGACCATTTTATATTCGATTTATAATTTGATTTTGTTCTATTTGGTATACTTTTCTTTAGGCTTCTATTTCCCCCCTGTCTTCTTTGTATTAGGTTGGTTGGTTATGTTTATATGACTGCTGAGGGCACTAATCATCTTCAAATGGTTCATTAGCTGTGATGATGGCTTTTGCTTTGTTTAATAATGGACTCTGTCAGAAAACCATCATATCAGACACTCATATTATCACTCATATTAACACAGTTAATTGTACTATATATTTCTTTTCACTGATGGCTTATGAAAAATTTGAGGGAGTATTGTGCAATTTTTCCAATAGTTTTCATTGTCATTGGCTGGGTAGATGTTTCTACCATATGTTGTTGCTGTTGTTAGGTGCCTTCGAGTTGAGTACGACTCATAGCCTCTGAACAACTGAACAGAACACTGCCCTGTCCCTTGCCATCCTCACAATGTAGCACATTGAAAATGGAATACACAACTCTGCTTTTTCCTCTATTTCTAGATTTCTTTGTTGATGACAGCATCAACTGATTACAGTAAAGAGATCATGTTAAAAATATGCTCTTTTCAGCTTAACACTGTATTTGCCAAGAAATTAAAATTTTTAAAGTGTACATATTTGTAAGGCATTTTGTAAGTTTACAAATTATCATGAATATTTCTTTGATTTGTAGTGGTTGGAGTTGGAAGGGGAACAAAAATGTTGACCAGTATGCTGTCAGGGACCAAGGTAAGAATACGAGAATAGTTACATTTTAAATGCTTAATCTTAATTGTTCAGTATTTTTCTTAATAACATGGGTGCTTATTTTTGTTTTATTTGTTTTTAAATGTTAGCAAATAAACTTCCATTTGCATGAGCAAGTGTCAATATTCCTAAGTATTAATTGCAATGCTTATAATACTGTTATTCAAGATTCAAAATAGGAATTGAATTCTTAATTGAAAATAAATTAGACCCATAGAAGCTAACATTTTGCAAAGCTCAAGTTTTTTTTAAATGGAAGTTTTATTTTATTTTATTTTTTTGCCCATAATCAAAACTTTATTGAAAAAACTGACACCAAAAGAAGTAAGTGCCACATACTTCACCAAAAACTGAAATGTTATTATATTATGATGGATTAACCGGAATTACTGATTGGTAAGGCTTTCTGTGACTGAAGAGAAATTCAGGAAGTCATAGAGAGCATTAATGTTGTTTTCTTCTAAATGAACAACCTTCTGTGAGTCTGGCTTTTCCCCCTGTGGGCTGACACAACACTGTTGAACAACCTACACAAAGAACCACTGTCTGAGCATGGCTGAAAACTGTGGTAATCTTGTAGCAACCTGGACATTTTACATCCATAAAATAAGAATTTGGGCTCTGAACTAGCCGTTTTTTTTATGCTTTTTCTTCTCATCCTCCATGGAAGGATGTAATAAATCTCTTGCCAGAGGCATGTTGACGCTTTTCTCAAGCCCACCTCTACATGCACGAAGACGAAACCCGAGCTAACTGGAAGTTTTATTTTTAAACTGACATTTTTGTAGCAGTAGTACTATCTTACAAAGTCTGTACTTTCTTTTTTTTTATGCGTGTACCGTCAAATTGGATCTGACTGGTACAGGAGGCAACTGTTCCTCCTTCTTCAGCAGAGCATCTGGTGGATTTGAACCGTGCACTTCTGGGATTGCAGTGCAGTTTCCTGCCACTAGGCCACCAGAGCTCGCCCATGTCTGTATTTTCCAACAAACGATGTGGTTTGATGAGTGGTTGGTAGTTGCTGTGGGTTCAGCTCATAGGATTCTCATTGACTGACTTTGGAATATAGGCTTTTCTACCTAGTCTATCTTAGTCTGGTAATTCCTCTGAAAATCTACTTGCATTTCAGAAGTCTCCCCTCACACCCAACTTGTACCATGCTTGTGGTGCTGGCCTGGAATCAAACCTGGGTTTCTGTCATGGAGAGTGAGAATTCTACTACTGCTGAATGCTTGTTGTTGTGTACTGTAGAGTCGGAACCGACCCATAGCTGACCCTCCAGCGGGTTTTCAGAGAGGCAGTAAATCACACAGGAGGAGATTGCCCATTCTTCTCCCACAGAGAAGCTGGTGGCCTTGAACTGTGTGACTTTGGGATTGCAGTTTAACTTCTTGCCACTGGGCCACCAGAGTTTTTTATTATGGAAAAAGCCCTCTTTAAAATGTTGGTTTTTAATCTCTGAGAGTAGCTCTGATTAAATTTAACAAATCCTTAGTTTAAGGCATTTGACAAGAGAGAGAGGAAAGTTTGTGTAAGGACAGAAATTATTGTACAGTGTATTTGTACATTGCATTTAAAGAAATGTTAAATACAGAATTTAGAATCTGTTTTTGGATACAGACTTTTATCAGTTGGTTGGTATTTTTTCCTTAACTCTAAGACATTTCTTAATAAATAAACAATGGTGGCTTTGCTGTAGGATTATGGATGATTTTTATTTATCCTTTTCCATATTCTTTGCTGTTTTCCAGAATTTTTGCAGTGAACTTATCACATTTATAACAATAAAAAGATCTGGTTTTATCCCCCAAGTGAAAATTGCTGGAGTTCATTGGAAAGTTTATTCTACTTATCAGTCTTCCTCCCATCAGCAACCCACACGTACATACATGCGTTCACACACATACAATCTACTATTTGAAATTTCATTACCAGAAATAAGACGACTGAAAATGTGACTCGATCACTGGCTTGGTTTCAGTTTTGTCACTCACCATTTTGGTATTAAGCTTCAAAACCTGAATTCAGTCTGTGAATTTGCTCCTCCTTAGATGACTCTATAACGTAAATAGAAAATCCTAGGTACATATTATTACACTTCTTGGGTACTTCATATTTCAGAAATAGTTGTTACTGTCTTGCTAACTTTTTTTATTTCTCACACCTTAATTTTAGATTGTATATTTATTGAATTCAAGTTGTATATTTAAGCACCTTGACTGATTTTTTTTATAAAAACCATTATTTAAAAATGCATTAGTTACTGTATTGAATAGATTTTGGTTTTAGCACTGGAATGAATCTTGGGCGCCTGAATGAGCATTAAATACTAGGAAATCTTTGTAAGGTGCCTGGGAACAGCTGATTAAATAGGCAGCATCACTGCCAGTTGCTGCCCCCGGACTGTTAACTGCTAGAGACCCCAAGGTTACCCCCAGGAGTAGAACTGTTCTTGCATTTTCAGGACTGGCCTTTGGGAAGCAGGTTACCAGGTCTTTTTTCTGACGTTCAGTGCCTCTAGGTTGGTTTGAACATTGGAAGTTCAACATATAAGATCACATTGTGGTTTTCTTATGCAACTAGATAGACTGTGTAGGCAAAGATCTAAGTATCTTATTATATTAGTTTTCCTTATAGAAAGTGTTACCAAATGAATTACTGTAACCACTATTCTAACAGTCATATCTTGCTTTTTAAAAAATAGCAGTATTGATAATATTGTTATCTGTTCTTTACTAAGACCAGGTACTATGCTGAATGCTTTGCTTCTTTTCACCAGCTACTTATGTCCCCATTTTAACATTTAAAAAAGAGGCTTTTTTTGAGAAAGACTAACTTACCTTTACTTTTTCTGTTGCGGTGCAGTCAGTTTCATACCTAGCAAGTTTGAACTTCTGTGTTATAGTGCCCTTGTGTCAGTTTCACATTGTATAGTGTGAACTACATTTTTACTGTATTATACAGAAAAGTTTTGGTTTTTTTAATATACTCTTGAGTTTTAAAATATTTGTATTCAAAAATGTAATCCCACACTGTAATTTGAAGGTGATTTTAACACAGGGCTCTTGTTGTTAGTTGTTAGATGCTGTTGAGTATGACCCATAGCAACTCTATGAAAACAGATCTGAACTCTGTCCTGTCCTGTGCCATCTCTACACTTCCTGACACATTAGAGCCCATTGCAGCAGTCACTGCGTCAGTCCACCTGGTCAAGGATCTTCCTCTCCTTCGCCGACCCTCCACCTTTTTTAGCATAATGTTCCTCTCCAAGAAATAGCCCCTCCTAGCAATATTCCCGAAGTATGTGAGGCAAAGCCTCATCTTTACCTCCAAAAAGCTCTCCTGCTGCACCTTCTCCAAGACATATTTTTTGTTGGTTGGGGTTTTTTTTTTTTCTTTTTCAGTCTGTGGGATGTTCAGTGCTCTTCTCCAACACCACAGTTCAAAGTCATCAATCCTTTTTCTGTCATCCCTACTCATTTTCCAGCTCTCAGACGCATAGCAAGTGATTAGAAAGACCATGACCTAAATCAGATGCACCTTAGTCCTCACACTGACATTCTTAATCCTTAATAATTTGGTGAGGTCCCTAACTGCAGAATTTCCCAATGCAGTATGTTTTCCTGATTTTCTGACTGCTTGGTGTCAAAGGTGTTAATTTTGAATCCAATTAAGATGAAGTTGTTGACATACTTATTCAGTCTGTATGCTGAGCAAATTATTTGAGGAGCTGGACTCTATGAAGGGAAATGTGGCAGTAGGATCAGAGGGAGACTCATCAATGACCTGTGTTATGCAGATGACACAGCATTGCTTACTGAAAGTGAACAGGACTTGAAGCACTTGTTGCAGAAGATCAGAGAATATAGCCTTCAGTATGGATTGCATCTCATTGTCAAGAAAACAAAAATTCTTACCACTGGACTGATAGGCAACAAAATGGTGGAGAAAAGATTGAAACTGTCAACAACTTCATCTTTCTTGGATCCACAGTTAACACTGTTGGTACCAGCTCTCAGGAAAGGGCTCTTCAGATTCTGTAAAATGTCTATATCTTTATGGGAATTTGAAGTTTTACTATTTTTCTCAGTTTTTCCTCTAATTCCTTCACTAGCATAAATGAACTTAAATTTCTGGGTGGAGAAACTTATCATACTATTTCATATAGAAATATTCTTGCTGTCATGTAGTATTGTTATAATCTCTTGCCGTCAAGTTAGTTCTGACAAATAATGACCCTATAAGGTAGAGTAGAAATAGTCCATGGAGTTGCCAAGGTTTTGATGTTCGTGGGAGCGGACTGCTCATCTTGTGATGAACAGAACTGTGGGGTCAGACTGCAGACCTTTTGGTTAGCACATAGTAATGACCAGTTCTTGGTGACTTTCCTGTCAGAGAGTTTAAGAAGTATCAATTACTTTTTATTAGTAGACACATGTGAGTTAAATATACTCCTGTTATACTAGGTATGTTCATACTCTGTGTGTTTTTCTTGACACGCACACTGTAATAGAAGCGTACTTCATTCTGTGGCACATCACTCCATTGTTGCCTTTGCAAATACTGCATTTTTTATAAATTTGTGGCAACTCTACATTGAACGAGCCCATCCCACCATTTCCTCAACAGTATTTGTGCCCTCAAGTCTCTGCCACATTTGGTAATTCTTGAAATATTTCAAGCTTTATTTCACACCAAATTGACTACAGAGTGGCATAAACATAAATGTGTTAGGAAATACGAGAAGAATGTGACTCCCATTGTTGCACTGATCTAGAATGAACTTGCAGTATCTCTGGGATATGCCTCACTTAACTCATTACTATTGCGCCTGACCAACTTTGCAGCATCTGTGCATTGCATGGGAGGAGATTGACCGTCTCTAACCAGGAGATTGCTGCTGGACGATTGGAGCTGCCAGAGAGGCATCACTTTGGGTTTGATAGTGCAGCTTCCCTCCAGAGCTCCCTTGGGATCTGCCTTTACTACTAACATTTGTATTGCCTCTCATAAGAAGTTGTAAATTAATTTACTTGCATATTAATTTTATCACATGTGGTGTAATAGTTGAATCTAATGATGGTTATGTAGGGTTTATTGTATCAATATATCTACTTGGTTAGATCTAGGAATCTCTTTAAAAAATCCAAACTTTCAGCGAGCTCTTGTGGCCTAGTGGCAAGAAGCTGCACTGCAATTCCAGAGGTATGCGGTTCAAATCCACCAGATTCTCTTCTGGAGAAGGATGAACAATCTCCTTGTGTACCAGTCAAATCTGATTTGATGGTGCACACATACACACAAATAATAAAAATAAAATAAAATTAAAAAACAAAACAAAACAAAACACCAACCCCAAACTTTCAACAATGAATGAATGGAAATCCTCAGTCTCTGTAAACTTTCATTTAAATTAATAATAATAATAAAAAAATAAAAACCCCCAAACTTCCCAATATAAAATTGGTTTTAGAAAAAGTATGTAAAGTAACAGAATTTATAAGCAATAATTTTCAATGAAATCAGATATTCTTTGCATGGTGGCTAATGTGGGCTGTTTCAGAATATTCCTCTGTCTGCACAAATACTTCTAGCCTGTAAAAAAACCAGTTATTGGGTTCTGATTTTGCCTTCATTTTCTATCAGGTTAGCCACACTAGTAAAATTCTGTATAAACATTGATACACATAACTATTTTCCTTTACCTTGTGGCCTGTTTTTCTCTTTGTTTTCTTTTAGAGATATATTGCTGTCGGAGAACTGGGAAAAGCTACTGATACATTAGATTCTACAGGGAAAATAACAGAAGAAAAACCTTACGGTATGAGGCCCACCTGATGGCATCTTTTTGATATTTAGATGTGTCTGTGAATGCAGACTTTGAAAATGCATCTCTTTATCTGATAGTATCAACAATTTTAGGTTTCTAGACAGCTCTTTACACAGCACCTAACAACCACAACATATACTACTTAACATACATTGGTTAGCAGAAATTTTTTGTCACTTTGTTTGCCTCGTTGATAATTTCTACATATACAGTTAAGTGATGTTATTACAGTCTCAGTAATTTGTAACCATTACCACTATGTTCCCAAAACCCTTTGTGACCCTAAACTGAAACTACTCATTAAGCCATGATTCCTACCTTCAGTTCCTAAAATCTGATCTCCTTTCTCCCACTATAGAGTTACCTGCTTTAGAGATTTCATCTTGAATCTTACCATTGAGCTTTTGTGTGACTGATTTAATTTTCTGTTTTCAAGGTTATTCCACATTGTAGCATTTATCAGGACTTCTTTCGGTCTGATGACTGACTTCTCTTCCATTATATACCACATTTTTCCTGTCTTTTCACCTGTTGATGGACATCTGGGTGTGGTTTCCATCTTTGGGATAGTCTGATTCAGGCTGTTAAGAACATTCCCGTGCAAGTGTCTGTTAGAAGTCCATGTTGTCACTCTTTTGAGTATATACCTAGGAATGCAGTTGCTACCAGCAAACTTATTTGCCATAGTGTTTGGACCATTTTACATTCCTACCAGCAGTAAGTTTCATTTTTCCATATATTTGTTAACACTTAGGTTCATTTTCTGGAAAAAAAAAATTATGATGTGACCGTATACTTGTTAACACTTAGTTTCCTTTTTTGAAAAAAAAAATTATCATATGACCATTCTAGAGCCCCAGTGGCATAGTATATATCATTCCAGACTGCTAGTCAGAAAGTTGACAGTTTGAATCCACCAGTCTCTGCAGAAGAAAAATAAGCAATTTCCTCCTGGAAAGATTTGCAGCCTCTAAGGCCTGATGAGGTTCGCAGAGAGTTGTAATGGACTCCACAGATAAGGGTTTGATACTGTGCTTCAGTGGTTATAAAGTACTATTTCATTGTGGTTTTGATTTGCATTTCCTTATTGGTAGTAATATCAGCCAGTCTTCTTTTCATGTGCTTATTGTTCTGTTATATGTCTTTGAAAAATCCCTGTTCAAGTCTTGCCATTTTTAGTCATGTTGTGTGCAGTGCGTAAAGGCGTGGCATCTAATATGGAAAGCTCAGTAGTTTGAATTTACCAGTTGCTCCATGGCAAAATGATGTGTCAGTGTGCTTCTATAGATTTACAACCCTGGAAAGTTTATGAGCAGTTCTACTGTTAGGTGAAACCAAACTAAAAATCAGTGCCATTCGTGTCGATTCTGACTCATGGCGACCCCTCCATGCGATTTCCAAACTGCAAATAAATCTGAATGGGAGCAGATGGCCCATTTTACTCCCTCTGTATGTCCAGTGGATTCAGACCATCAGAGATCAGCACAGCACACTACAGACGAGGCCTCAAGAGAACCTTACTCTTGGCCTGTAGGGTCAGCGCGAGTGAGAATTGACTCGACAGCTGTGGCTGTGCCCAGCCCCTCTTTACTTTGCCGCCTTATATAATGTTCAGTTGCATTTTTTATGAAAATCCACACAGCAGGCGAGGTTCCCAGCAGACAGTTTGCAGGTTCCACTCAACATCCTGCATCAGTATCTTTTTTTTTAAAATCTTTTTTTAATCTTTTCTAATTGTGCTCTACTTGTGCTCAGTATGCTCGTTAAGAAATTGTTGGGCTTTTGATCTTGTGCTGATGGTTTTTAAGAAGAGCTTTGATTGTTATGGGTAATATTCCTTACTTCGTCTACTACTCCGCCATTACACTCAGTGATCTGGAGATCAGTTAGGTTTGAGGTTTAAAAGAAGGTTCTGGGTGAAAGTGGGTTGCCCACTATTTCAATTTGTTTGCCGCCTTTTTTCTTTTTTAAATAAGGTTTGAATTCTGCTTTTATTTTCTCCTGTCTGGAACCAATTACTGTGTTGACTTATCTTTAAATTGCTTGTTTTTATTGTTGAGTTTCAAGAGTTTATCTATCCTAGATAATGAATCCTTATCGGAGATCTAATTATTAAATATCCTGTTGTGCAAGTTACTTTTCACTACCTCTGATACCTATAATAAGTTTTGTTGAAGTTCAGTTTATCCAGGTTTTCTGTTGTTGTCAGAGCTTTGATTCCATATTTAAGACTCCATTTTAAAATTTCCAATTAAGCAGATTGCACCCCCACAAGCTCTTACATACAGGTCCTTGATTATTGTGAGTAAATCTATGATGAAAGGAAGTCCAGCTTCATTATTTTGCATGCGGATATTCCTTTTCTCTAGAACCATATGTTGAAGAGATTTTGTTGTTGATTGCTTTCAAGTCTAGAACGACTTGTAGTAACCCTACGAACAAAAGGCCTGAAGCCTTTCTATAACTATCGTCAGTTCTCAAAGTTAGAGTTTCCAGAGGCATGTGGTTTCGGAAGTGAATGCTACTCCTGCTTCCAAGAGATGTTAGGAGTTATTAATAAGGTTTCTTATAATTGCCTCTTTTCCCATAAATCAGCTTTTTAAAAATAATTCTAAATAACAACCTTGCCCCAAATCATTTAGAACTAGAATTTGGTAATTTTTTTTCCCCCTAGTACATGAGAAACAAAACAGAGATAGTCATTTGGTGAATTTTACCTGTGTCTGGCCATTCCTTTTCTTCCCCCCTGTGTTTTACAGTTAATTCTCAACAGTTAAAATAAATTCCAAGTGTAGCACTGTTAAGATGGATGCTGCTTTTGGAGTTTATAGAATGATACATGACCTTGGGAAAGCTATTTGTCTAGAAGTAAAGCAGATCTCGCAGGGTCTTATTTTCATTTCGCGACTTTTCCTTCTTTCTCTCCTGTAAGAGAGATGTAGCTGTTTCCTCGCAGCTCTTACAGTGTCCATGCATGTCTGCTACAGCAGTGCAGTTTTGTACTTAAAATGCACCTTCATTGTTATTTCACCAATTCAGAATTATTAAGCTTTATTCCCCCAACCTACTCCTCCCACTCATTTTCCCAGTGTAGTGTTAGTGTCAACCATAGGAATTTGCTACGAACTCCAAGGCCTATCCTGTCCTGAGGTTCAAATCCACCAGCAGGTCTTTGAGGAAAAGATGAACAATTTCCTTCGCTGTGATGTGCAGCTTCTGAAACCCAGTGGAGGTTCATTTGTGAGTCAGTATTGACTCAACAGTTTTTTAAAAATATATATGTGTATATACATACATACATACACACACACACACACACACACACACACACACACACACACACACACACACACACACATATATATATGTAATTTTGGATCGTCCAACATCTTGCCTCCCTTTTAAGTTTGTATTGAGTGGCCTTATACTCTCCCATGATAGGGTTCAGTCTCAGATAGTGAGAATTGTGTTGATGGAGTTTCATTCTGTTGTACACGGTTGGTCACTGTACTTCAGAGTTGGCTTGATGACATCTCGCAGTAATGGAGTAATTATTTTCCTGTTGACTTGTTAACGTTCACTAAGTAAAACATGGTTTAAAAATCAGGAAAGGTGTGCATCAGGGTTGTATTACTTCTTAATACCTATTCAGCCTTTGGTTAACAAATCATTCGAGAAGCTGGACTCTAGGAGGAAGAATGTGGCATCTGGATTGGAGTAAGACTTATCAACAAACTATGTTATGTAGATAACAGCCTTGCTTGCAGTAAGCGAAGAGGTCTTGAAACACTACTGCAGAAGATCAACGATGACAGCCTTCAGTATGAATTGTATCTCAGCATCAAGAAGACAGAATCCTTCCTCACGACTAGACCGATAGGCAATATCATGATAGAGAAAAGAAATTGTCAAGGATTTCATTTTACTTGGATCCGCTATTAACACCCATGGGAGCAGCAATCAGGAAATCCGGAGACATGTTACATTGGAAAAATCTGCTGTAAAGGGCCTCTCCAAAGTGCTGAAGGGCAATGAAGTCAGTTTAAAGACTAAGGTGCTCCTGATCCAAGGTTTGGTATTTGCATTTCCTTCACGTGCATCTGAAAGTTGGATAGTGAATAGAAATAACTGAAGAATAATTGATACCTTTGAATTGTGTTAGTAGAGAAGAGTAGTGAATATCCCAGGGATTGTCCTAAGAACAGTCCCTCTTGGAGAAAGTGCACTTAGCGTGCTCCTTAGAGCCCACACACCCTGGGCATGCTATCAGGAGGGATGAGTTCTTGGAAAAAGATGTCAGGCTGGGAACAGTGGAGGATGAGAGGGACGAAGACCCTCAACAAGATGAATTGACACAGTGACTGTGAAGGATGATTAGATCACAGGAAAGGAGGATGGACATGGTTATATAACTGCCAGATGAGATTGTGTGAATGCCAAACACTGAGACTCATGCCCCAGTCCATTTGACACACAACCTTAATCATCACAGGCAGCATTTGTCTTGCCCCACAGCTTTGTGTCCGTTACTGCCACATTTGTGCCACTAACACACAAAACAGGTGGATAGTAGATTATTTTACTATTGTCATAACTGTGAAATGTTGAGAAGTGAGGCTTAGGTGTATATCCTTTGGATTTTGTTTTCTTTCACTTAATAGGCTAATGAAATTCATCCATTGGTGATGGTGTAGGTATTTGTAAATAATTTCTGTATTGTGTATCATAATTTACATAACATTCTATTGATGGACAAAAAATGCAGCTCTTATTTTTAATACTTCTTTTTAAATATTTTTTAATACTTAGAAAATAATTTTTATGAATAGATGGTTTGCACCTCATTGATTTTTTTTTCTTTTATTGTTGTGATAAAGATACTGAACATTTCCATCACTCCAAAAGATTCCTTGTGTCTTTTTTTTTTGATCCAGCAATTTTATTGGGGCGGGGGGGGCCCTTGTGTCTTTTTCGAGACAATCACCACTCCT